ACCTTTATTTAAATCAACTATTATTTTTCCATGTTCTCCTAATTGTTGATATTGTGTGTAAAGTTCATTAATGCTCATTGGTAAATTCACTTGATAAAGCATAACGTTCAACTGTTGACGACTAAAACCACTGAAAATGAAAAGGGTGGACAGGTTTGATTTAATGTTTGTGCTTAATGCTTTAAAGTATTGAACAGCCATGAAGAATGAACACTGAATGTGTCGACATTGAGTTAATAATTGATTAAAATATGACTTCTCATTAGTTATTAGTTTTGATTTCACCGCATCATCTAGAAAAATGAGTGAATGCAAAAATTCTCTATCAAAATTTGAAATAGAAAGTGTTTCAAATAATTCATCTCGTTGTTTATCAATAATTTTATCCTCTAATCCTTGCTTCTTGATTGTATTATATAATTCTTTATACATTACAAAGTTTTTTAAATAATCTTCTGCTTCTTCTTGTGATAAATAAATAATTGGAATTTTGATTAAATGCTTTAAAGATTCAAATGTATCATCTGAAGGTGAACCTGAACGGTTGATATAAATTAACACATGTGAATAGGGTGAAGTGTTTAGCAATAATGATAATTTGTTTTAATATCGTTAATGTTTTACCTTTATTTTGTTTACCAATTGCTGCAGTGATTGAATTTAAGTAACATTCAGAATATGGAATTTCATTAATTTTTCCTTAGATAGAGCATTTCTATTATCACTCAATGCTTCATTAATCATATCATCTACGTATGTATTATATACTCCCGCTAATTCTTCATAAGGAGTGGATGATTTAAATCCATTTAATCAAAAATAAATTTTATAATTTTATACATTTCTATTCATCAATATTTCATCATATGAAACTTCTATACTGCGGTGGTGTACCTGTTGGATGATATTTCAAACCTTCATCCGGTGTCCATGTCCAATATGTAGTCCTAGTAAACCAAACCTGAGGAGGATTTGTCACTTTGAACAGTAAGTGTCATTTTCACCCTGAATGATTGGATAAGCTTTCACTTGTACTGTAAACTTGTGAGTTGAAAGTTTCTAATCCATCAAAGAATATACCCGCTCCATCACGTTGAACTGGAATAGTGCATAAGAATGAAGTTTGGTCTTTCCATGTTCTAGCTAATGGTGTGCCATTATCATCATTCAGTGGTCTAGTTAATGAGTCCTCATATTCTTCCGTGCATTCATTCACTCCATCTAAATCAGAAGCTTGAAGCATACGTGTAAAGAATATGTCGCCCATGTGGTCATCGCTTGATCGGGGAAGTTTCTGGAATCTATAGTGACCTGAAGACCTCGAAGCATTGGATTTTCTAAACCGTTCTTTGCATTGCATTCTTCGGAAATGTTAACAAAATCTGTAACATTATGAAGAGCGTATGAGAAATCTGAGCTAATACCTTCAGGAGTGATGCAACCTCCATTTAGTGAACGAACGTCAATATGTTGAGCTGGAATCATGAATGGATCTTCCTTACAAATAAACGTGTATTGCTTTAACTGATTTTCAATTAAACCGTATCCTGGTGTAATGCATTTATCCTCTAAAACTTCCATCTTTGTGCATGAAATAATAACGTTCAACTGTTGCGTCAGCAGATGTAGTGGCTAAGCTTGTAATTAATTTGGCAGGAAGTCCGATTTGTTGGAATTTGCGATCATATTTATAAACATGATTCATAATCTTTCATAATTTTCATCAGTTATCTTTTCATAAACGTAATTTTGTAAATCAGCAACTCTTAACGGGTCAACCTGACAAAATACTAAAGTATCCCTGAAAACAATATTTAAGAATGATTTCACCAAATGATTTAGGATAATCATCGAACGCCTGAAATGCTAACAAATCATTTACTGGAATAATCATATCAAAAGTGACATCAACTTCTTCATTTGCTTTCTTGAAAACTTCTGAAGGGTCAATATATTTACCACATACTGAGTTATCATATTTTTGAACATTATTATATAACGAATGAACAAACTTTTTAACTTTCCTTTCTGATTTTGGTTTATATGTTGCAAATGCGAAAGATTCACGGGCGCAATCCATCTGAAGATAACCGGCATCACCTCTTTCGGTTTCTACTTCTAATTGTTTAAAGCTTTGATTTGATGATTTGTAACCAACGAATAAACGCATACATTTAAAAGCGGCATCGCATGTGAAAGCTTTATTTGAAACTAGAGTTGCTTTAACTTTGCGTTTAATTATATGTGTCACCTAATTGGTTCACATCATGAGCTGGATTTGTAATTCTTAAATGAGTTTGTTTATCATCAAAATATGGAGCATCAGAGTCATAGCATGAACTTTCAAGTTCTCTATAATATCTTCTTCCATCATTCTTTGCGAATATTTCATTTATCTTTCGTCGAATGAATGAAATACATTTCCATTAATCGGTTTAGTGTTTGGCACTAAATAGTTAGTCGTCATTTAATTATTAAATAAAAAAATCAAAATTAAAGATGAAAATGAATTTTTAATTTTAATGAAATAATCAACTATGGCTGCAGGATTCTTTAAGAAACTGTGGGATAAAGTAAAAAGAGGAGCGCATAAAGTTTGGGAAGGGATTAAGAAAGGAGCAAATTGGATATTTAAGAATAAAGAAGCAATTAGTGACGTTGCTGAACAAATAGCACCTAATGTTCCGGTAAGGGAAGTATTAAATAAAGGAGATAAGGTTTATCGTCGACTACAACCGATACTAAGATAAAAATAATATTTATTTATTTTTCCACTATCTACCCCCTATTTTTTAAGTATTCCTTCAGCAATTCCACCACTGCGTTACCTGCTTGTGCTCCATCGCCGGATTACCTGCTTTAGCACCTAATACTGCCTCCTATGATAGTTCCTGCCGTTTTTCGCTACTGGTGCCAAAAAGTTTGCAACGGGTTTAATAATCTTTTGATGAACCCAACTTGCAGCTTTCTTAATTCTTCCCATAATTTTTTAAAGAATCCTGCCGCCATCTCTGATTTAATATTAATTAAAAAATATATTTCATCACTTATATTCTAATTTTTTATTTAATGATAAATGAAACCGATTTTAAAATAAATGAAACAGAGGAGGAAGAATAAATGAAAGTGAAAATGTTCAAAAAAATAAACGTTGTTAAACCAATTACTGAAATAAAATTTTTTCATCTGTTGATGAATTTAATGACTATTATGCTAATAATAAAAAATTATTTGAAGAATTGACAACATGTAAATTGAATAAATGTTTAAAGTTGAGGACAGAGTCCAAGACCCAGAAGGGTCATGGATCAAATTTCAAAAATAAAAGGTGTTGTTAGTTTTAAAATCTATTCCTCAATCAAGAATCACTCATTAATGAAAATTGATGATTATCAAAAAGAATAGAAATTATTGAAGAGCGAATAAATCAAATTATTGATTTCATAAATCATGACTCGTTGAGCCCAGGTCCTTAAGCTCAGGACTTAAAGTCCATCACTGAGTTCAAGGTTATATTCATCAATATTTCATTATTAAATGCAACTTCTGCTAGTTTATTTATTTTTTCAATACGATCAATTTGAAAGTCTATCGTTTAATTTTTTCTGAAGTTTTCATTTTCTAGTTCTGAAACTTTATTTGGATGATATTTAAACCCGTTAAATTCTTTTTCCTCAGTTTTGATCATTAATTTACAAAGAACTTTTGTGGTTGGAATTCGTTTTAAACATTTATCATTAATATTTTTGTTATAAATTCAATATCTGGAATTAATTCCCAAATTTTTGCATTTTCAATTAATTTATTATCAAATGCAAAAGCAATAGGTTTTATTTAAACTTACCTTTATAATATATACTTTCTACATAATATCGAAATAAACATCTACTTGTTTACATTTTCAAGAATTGGTGAAAGAACATCCATTAATTGATTGACGGTTACGAATCTTGATCCACTCATTTTCTTACGATTAAAAAATAAATTATTCATAAATGTAAGACATGAATTTTCAAAGTTTATTTTTTTATTTTTTTATTTTTTTTTATTTCATTATGTATGGGTTTAGTGAAAATTTCTTACGATTCTGAAAATTTTTAAATCTTGATTTATTCAAAAACGTAAGAATAAAAACCGTAAAAATCATACATTTATTTTATCGATTGTATGAAAATTACTTACAAAATCGTTCAATATTGTATGAATTCTTACGTTTACAAAAAAAGTCACAAAACCCGTCAACATATACTACTTTGCTCGAAATAATTTGGTTCAGAGTACATTAAAAATTTTGATCAAAAAAAATGTTTATGTATTGAAAAGAAACAAAATTGATCTTTCAAGGATTTTGAGTTATGAAACAATTCTATTAGTTAACAGAAAAATAAATTTTTCCTATGAAAAATTTGAAAGAATAAGAATACCGAAAATCATATTAAGGATTTCCGACCGACCACCTATCTCCTCTCAAAATTTTCAACTTTGGAATGTCATATCTTGGCGGATACGAGGTTTCAATCCGAATCTCCGGTACATCTTTAAATACTGGTATATATAGTATTTAAAAACTTTTTTTACGAAAATAGTATTCGCAATTAATCAGAATATACCTTCATTATTAATAGATCCAAGCAGATGAAGTAGATCTTCAAATTGAATTTTCGAGTTGGAGGAGATTTTTCTCCATACAAGATCCTTAAAAATTGGATCCAGATTCGAGGTTTATTCATGATTTTGAGATTGCACTAGATTTCAAAAAAAAAAATCACTTTAGATTCCTCTCAAGCTCTATGCATAAGGATATCTCTATATGAGGAAACTACCTGTGCTATTAATTTCACGGCAAAAACTCATGGTGCCTGTGCGCAGAAAATCAATTGATTGAGCTTGAGAGCGAATTTGTAGAACGCACAATTGTACATCAGCTAAATGATATGAATCTTAGCATTCATCAATCTTTAAAATTTTGGACGTTTCTAAAATTTGACAATAAAGATTTTATGAGAATTCGAAAAGATCAAGTATTAGAACAAGTTAAATCTGATTTTTCACATCTTCGACCGCTTTCAGCACGTCGTAACTCCAAATTTACGAAAAGAGATAAAGATAATCCCTTTAATATCCCGGACGTTACCGACGTTTTTGCAGAGCAAGATAAAATTGTTCAAGAACGTCAAGAAAGGATCAAAGGAGCTCAGAAGTTAACACTTAAACAAAGACAAATGCTTCCTTCACAGGTAACATCACAAAGATCAATTTGAGAGCGAATAGAGCAGAAATTCAGATCACCTGAAAAGAATAAAGATACCGATATTAAGGGTGTTACTGAAATTCGTCAAAGACAGCAACATACAACGCAACTTTTACAAGAACAGCGTGAGATTTTCCTAGCAAATCTTTTGATAGACTGCCATCAGCGAGAACTTGATAGAATTAACATTACTAAACAGACCCGCAAAGCTAAATTTGATGAACTTCAACTTACTCTTGAAGAAGATCAGAATCGTCTTAAAACTGTCCGAAGGCAACTCGAAATGACTCGTGATCGTGAGAAATTAATGCTAGAAGAACAGATGCGTAAACGTACTGAGATAGAAGTTAAAGTTAAACGTAAAAGGCAAAACGTTGATGTTCTCAAGGTGGAACTAAATCAACTTGAAGAGAAGAAAGCCAATTATCTTTTGTACGGAAAACTATTGGATCAAATGGAAGAAACTTATGGCACTCGTCCCTCTAAAATTTCCGAATTTATTGACGCATTCGACAGATTAGAGCATGAGAATCTTTTCTTAATACAAAATTCTAGGCAACAAGCCAGCAAATATGAGAACTCTCAATACGAAGTTGAAATAGAACTTGAAGAAACAAAGAAAGACATAAATGACCTTGAACAACAAATAGAAAAACTGAAAGAACAAAAGAATTCGATACAACTACTTAATGAATCGAACCATGATACTGTAGATCTTGATGATAAACTGGAGCAATTACAAAATTCAATCTCGAAAACATTCGTTAAGTGTTTCCCAGCAGCTGGAAATAACCAAAACTCCTTAACAATGTTGAGTATGATTGAAAATGAGATAGAAACAATGATTAAGAGGCTCGATTTGATTAATGATAAAGAAATGATCGCTCAAAAGGTCAAGCAACTGAACAACCAAAGAAGAACAGAGTACAGACTGGAGAACCAGGCTAGAAATGAGAAGATCCAGCTTGAAAAGAAGCTTGCAATGCAAGAAAGAGCAACTAAACCAGTCAAGAAGAGAAATGGAAGACCATTGGTTGAAAGAATTGTCATCGGTCAGACAAAGAAGAAGAACACAGCTAAACTTGAAGCTGAGCAATATGAAAAGGAAAGATTAGACAATTTATTGTTTGGTGATACAATCTATGATTGAACAGCTATATTACTTTATTTTTAATTTGTTTGTATGTAAATTATCTACTTACTTAAAACTTATATTGATGGGTACAATGTATATAAGTCATATAAAACTGATGTGAAAAATAAGTGAAAATAATGAACAAAAATTATTAAGGATCTAGTTTAGAGAAATAACGGTCGGGATCTCCAAAATCCAAAATATAAGCTTAAATCAACTTTGTAAAATTTCTCCAAACTGAATACCCAAAATCATACCAAAACTTAGCTTTTCATACTGATCAGTTCATTGAATCTTTTGAGTCGCCCTTTCAATTTAGATGTCACCTTTTATGTCAAATTGTCGTAATGTCACTTAAGCCTTCCAATGCGCGGAAGAAATCTCCTAAAAAGAGTCCCCACAAACCAACAGCTGCTGACAACGATGATGATGAGCCATTAAGCGTTGATTTTGATGAAGTTGCAGCTCAACCTGTCAAACGAGTGAAAAGACAAAGGTTGGACTCAATGGATGCATCAGCAGCAATCAGGAATGCAGCATCTAAAAAATCTAAAGACAAATCAACGAAAAGAACAAAAGATTCTCAAACGCTCGGAAAGGCGTTAGGATCGAAAGATAAAACAAAAACTGTTACGATTACAAAGACAGTTACTATCCAGCGCAAGAAAAAAGCTCCAATTCGAAAACCCGTTAATTCAAATAAAGCCCCAGCGAATCGACGCAAAGGAAAAAAGAAACCGATTGTTAGGAAAGTTGTCAAAAAAGTTGTTATCCATAAGCACAGATCGAAAAAAAAAGGCTGAACCGGAAAAAGATCCAGATCCAATTATCATCAGAAAGAAGAAAGGAGTGAAGAAACAGCCAAAGAAAATCATCCAGAAAGTTATTGTTAAGAAGAAAAAGAATAATCAGAATCAACCACCACAAGATCAGGAACCTGAAACTATTGTTCATAGGATTAGAAAGCGGAGGCATCACAGGGATACTACAGTTACACCTCCGACACTTATTACTATCGTGAAAAGAAGAAAGAATCCTGTAACAGGTGAAATAGAAACGTATGAAGAAAAGGTTACCCCAGAAGAACTTGCAAAACAAATGAAAGAAGCAGAGGAAAGAAAGAAAGCTTTAGCAGAAGCAACTCAAGACAACGACGAAACGATGGATAATCCAAACGACTCTCAAGAGAAAAGACAACGAAAGCGTCGTCATAGACGGATACAATATGTCACAGTTATCAAGAAACGAATCAATAAAGAAACTGGGCGCGAAGAAACTTACGAAGAACAAATTGCTGTTCCTACATCAGATGAAGAGCCTTCATCCAACTCAACGCCATCAAGCCCACGTAAATCAAGCGCCAAACATAGGTCAAGCGCTCGTCCTTCGAATGCAAAACCATTAATATCAGATTCGAAAGATAACGACGATGAATCAGATTCAGAATCATCCGAAGATAAATCCCGTCCTAAAACAGGCGGTGGCAAAAGGAAACCGAAAAAGATTGTCAAGAAAACTACCGTTATTAAGAAACAACGTAAACCGAAAACTACAAAAGCTGGTGATACATCGGAACCAGAGACGCAAGTCATCCGAGTCAGGAAACGGAGAGATCCGAAAAAAGTTGTTCAACAAGTTGTTACTGTTATCAAAAAGCATATTAATCCAAACACGGGCAAAGAAGAATTGGTTGAAGAGAAAGTACCTATCGAGCTGAGCGAATCTTCTTCATCATCTGATTCGATCGATGATCAAATCTTCTTTGACCAATTGAAGAAGAAAACCAATTCCAAAGCTCATAGAAATACTACTGCCGGCCTTAAGAACTCAAAGGCAGCTTCGAGAAGAAATTCAACCGCAAGAAGGCCTTCAACTGCTTCAAGACGTCCTTCAACAGCTAGAAGACCAATCAGGAGAGGCTCTACAAGCAATATTGCAGACTTAATGAAGAAATCTTCTCCTCAAAAAGTTTCAAGAAAGTCATCTGCAGCCACAGCATCTCTTATTAATGTTGAACCGATTGATTCGTTACTTATACAGCCGAAATCAGGCAGAAGGAGAAGAACAGCTCCAATTGAAAAAATTATTACTGAAATTGTACTTGAAAGTGACGATGAAGGTGAAAGAAAGCCAGTACAAAGGCAGAAGACTATCATTGAAGAATACTATTCTGATTATTCTGAGCCAGAAGCTGATTTTAGTAATATTAAAGTATTTGTTAGCGATGATGAGGACGATAATATGGTTAAGAAGCGCCAGAGAGATATTCCTGCCTTACTTTCTAGGATTGACCGATCAAAGAAAGGTCCTGATGAAGTTCTTGTTGATGATTTCGGAGTTTCGCCGGCAATCACTTCTCTTTTACAAGGAGGAGATGATAACACAGTTCCTTTGACCAATAATCATTTTCTTAATGATAAAGACCTTGAAGAGGTCAAACTTTCCTCATTTTACTCAGATCCGAAAACTGGAATCAATGGAGACAAACTTATTGCCCAGATTAGGCCAGATTTGGTTCAGAGCTTGGCTTTGGACGCTCTGGCTCAATCTGCGGAAAATAATATTCCATTTGACAAATATTTTGAAAATCAGAAGTATGACTCACAATTGAAGGATAAATTATCTCAGTATAATGTTCAAAGACAAAATGAGATTACAAAACTCGATAAGTCTACTCCTATTCGAAAATTAGTAAGATCCTTCGGAGTTCATGCGGAAGCATAAATTTATTTCTTGTTTAAATCATGAAGTAAATCTAAAATATCATGTAGTTTAATCAATACTCGTATTTTCATTATAGATAAAAAAAAAATAATTAATATCATGAGAAAACGAAAACATCATGTAAAACTTGAATACTATCGTGCAGTACATCTTTTATGCTGATATATAATACTTAAAATGATAAAGACAGAAGAAAATTTAAATTTTTTGATAAAATTTCTTGCCTACTTGCAATTACTAGTGGTATTACGAGAGTTTTTTGTATCTGTATATTTTCAGGTGATTTTTAACGCCATAACTGAAAAGTAAAAAAATTTATAATTTTAGTAGATGGAGTTCATAATTTTAAATATTATAAAGGCAATTAAAATCGGTTTGATATCACAAGCCGATAGATAAAAAAGAGTAATGGCATTTTAAGACATACAGCCAAACAAACAAATAAAATTATTTGTCACTTTTCCGGTGGAATTTTTACATTTTTTTCATTGATATGTCAGATGAAGAAATCATCAAAATTGAAGATAAAATTGATACCAATATAAAGGAAGAATTTGATAACAGTGAAGATGAAGAAAAAATCCCGAATTTTCAAAATTCTCCAATTTCTTTCTCTTCAGAATCAGAAAATATTGATGAAGAAATACAAATTGGTGATGATTTTCACTGTAATCAAATTAAAGAAATCAATGAATATACTGATGATTCATTAAGATCAAATTGTGATAATAGAACATCATTTGACACGCAAAATGATGTGGAAATGACTCATTTCAATGAGGAGAGTGATGAAGCAAAAATAAATTGTCATGTAATTGATGAAAATTCGAGTGATTCAGCAGAACAGTATCAAATTCAGAGTGATGATATCAATCATTTTTCACTGGAAAATTTGTTATTTTATTCGATTGAAACACTTCGAAATTTTCAAGATAAAGGTGATGATTTGAAAGTACATGATGCAAATGGGAACGGAATATTGCATCTCCTTGCAAAAGCCAAGAATTTTGAATTATTCAATAAAATCATTAACAATATTCATTCATTTGATCTTGACATGTGGGAATTAAACTCGGACAATGAATCCCCTTTCACAATTATTATAAAATATTTGGTTGACACTGAACCTGAAAGAATCAATCAAGAAGCATTTGAAACAATTAGAGAATATGATTTTCATGATTGCGAAGATCCAGGAAACATTAAAATCGATGATAAATTTGTATTAGAATATCTGATTGACAATAATAATGTAGATTTATTTAATATTGTTTACAATTTTAGTTATATAACAGGTACTTGCAGTTCGAAGAAAAACATTTTGCATTATGCGTATTTATCCAATAAGAAAGATTTTATTGAAATAATTTTAGAAAATTTGAAGGATGATATAAATATAAATGATATTGTTGATGATAAACATGGCCAAACACTACTACACTTAGCATCAATGAAATACGAGCAATTTGAAATCTTTGAATTACTGATTGAAACAGAAGGAATTGACAAAAATTGTCTTGACGCTCAAGAAAAAACGATTTTGCATTTATCATGTGAAAATAGAGCAGAAGAGCAGACACAATATATTTTAGAAAATAAGATAATTGATATTAATGCAAAAGATAAAAATGGAAGGACGCCTTTGATACTAATCGCAATGAATAATCATTTTAAATTATTTTATTTTGTCTTCAAAGATAAAATTACGGATAAAAATGATATTAACATTCCTGATAATAAGGGACAAACTGCTTTCTGGCATACTGTCGAAAAAGGATATTTTGAGATAATGAAAATGCTTTACGAATTTAATAATGATTGTTTCAGGGGAGATAATGATGGAGTTACCCCTCTTCATATTGCATGTGCAAGAAATTTTGTTAAAGGTCTTTTGTTTATGAAGTCAGTAGTAGGATATGATGGGCTTTGTGACTTTTTTTGTTACATCTATATATAGACGATGCATTAAAATATATTTATTTATAAATTAACATTAATTTTAAAATAATTTATTTTTTTATCTTTTATAAAAGAAGCTATATATAGATGATGACAGATATTCCGCGATTAATTAAACATTGTTTAAATCCTGAATGGGTTAAACTTCAATTTAAAAATGAAGATTGTGAATTATTAAATGAATATGAAAGCCAAAATAAGCTAATGAGGTATAAATATAATGATAAAGAATATTTAATTTCATGGAATCAATGGAGTCATAATCAAAGACCCCATAAACGAGAAGAAGAAATTGAAAATAATGAAATGGAAATCATTGATGACATTAAAGAGGATGGAATTCCTAAATTTTGTAGAAAAACCTTTAGAACTAAGTTAGGAGCATATAAACGTAGAGTATTAAATCCTGAATATCTTAAACATTTATTTAAAAAGGAAGACTGTGAATTATTAAACGTTAATGAATATGAAAATGCAAAATCAAAACTGAGATATAAATATATTGGAAGTGATGAAAGGTGTAAAGATAAAGATAAAGTTTATACAGTTTCATATAATAACTGGCACACGTTAGGGATAAGAAAACATTTAGGAGATTATGGGAAATGTTCTGAATTCTTCAAATCTAGTATGTACGAGAGAGTAAAAGAAATTAGATATAATTATTTTCATGAATGAAAAAAATAAACGAGTAAAAGAAATTAGAAACTAATGATTATTTGAATTTATGAAATCAATTATTTGATTCATTCTTTCTTCAATAATTTCTATTCTTTTTGTTAAATCATCAATTTTCATTAATGAGGTGATTCTTGATTGAGGAATAGATTTTAAACTAACAACACCTTTTATTTTTGAAATTTTGAATCCATCAACTTTAAACATTTTATTCAATTTACATGTTGTCAATTCTTCAAATAATTTTTTATTATTAGCATAATAGTCATTAAATTCTTCAACAGATGAAAAAATTTTTATTTCAGTAATGGGTTTAACAATGTTTATTTTATTTTGAACATCTTCACTTTCATTTATTTCTTCCTTCTCTGTTTCATTACTTTTTAAAATCGGTTTCATTTATCATTAAATAAAAATTAGAATATAAGTGATGAAATATATTTTTTTAAAAAAATAAACTTTAAAAATTCATGTCTTACATTTTTGAATAATTTATTTTTATTTTGTATGAAAATGAGTGTCAAAACTAACGATGTTAAAAAATTAGGATTCACAAATGAGGAAATAAAGGATATATTAGAGGAGGCAGGTTATGAAGTTAATAAATATTATTTAAGAAATTGTCAAAAATTCGCGGAGTTTTTAAATGAATTTGATTATGATGGAAAAATGAATAAAGATGATGTTATAAATTTCTTATATCCTACATCTGAAGAAGAAAAACCTAAAGAACCTGATGTTTTCCCTGAATATTATGAAGAACGAATTAAAGATGATGAATATGATGAAATTGAAATTGAAAGACTGAAAAAAATAAGAGATGAAATAGATGAAAAAATTAAGGAATTAAGAGAAGTTGAAAAATATAATGAGAATGAAGTAGAGGGTTTAATGAATATCCCAGCTTCAGAATCAGCAGTTCAGAAATCTCATGAAGAAAGATATAAAAATTATGTCTCAGAATCAACACAAAATTTATTAGATGGTGATATTGACGAAACACTTTCAGAAGAAGGCACAAAATTTATTCATAAACATAAGCTTCAGTTTATTGACGATGGAGAATACCCTTGTATATTACTTTCACCCCCTCTTGATTCTGAAAAATTCAAAAAAGTACTGAAAAATGTGACATATGCAACAAATACGATTAAGAAAGAAGACCATGATATTTACACAAATTATTATTTAAATAAATGTACAGGTGTTGATAAAGTTTTTGATTTGTTAGATAAAATATCAAAAGAAACAATTGGAACCTATAAAATTTTATGTGATTGTGGTTTCATTATTGAAGATACCAATAATGTTTCATATGAAAGAACAGCACCGAAGGAAGACGAAGTTGAAAGGTCTATACCATTCGTTATTAAGAACATAAAAGATATGAAAACGTATAAGCATTATATTTATTCATTTATTTCAGAAAAAATGGAAGCAACCCATAAAACATCATCTCATCATTTTATAGCTATTCATACATTCCTTTTCAAAGTTGTGAAATTAAATAAGACAGGAATTAGATTTAATGTATCAGGGTACACATTCTTGAGTAAATTAAAATGTATTCGTCACGTTGCAGATGATAAAAATTTATGTGTTCTTAATTCATTTTATGGACTTTAGCCCTGGACTTTAAAAAAATAAACTTTATTTTTATATTCTAATTTTTTATTCTTACATAAATGAACAAAAACGGAACAGCTAAAATGAATGATAATCAAATAAGAGCCGAAGGTAGAAGGTTATTTAAACGCTTCTATAACATTCCTGATGGTGTTAATCCTAAAACTCGTAGAAGCTATTTAAATGAAGCCATAGATGCATATGAAGGATTTGACATTTCATCAGAAAGTGAGAGGTTAGCAAGAATGTTAAACATTAATATTGATTTCTATTATTGTGACCCTCAACCAGAAGACGTAGACATTAACAAGGTTGACTTTCCATTAGTGGAAACAATAATGATAGATCCAGAATTTGAAACAGTAAATATTTTATTAACACAGAGTCCATGTGGAAAACTTCACGCTGACAGAATAACAGACGTTGAAGCACTCACCGGCTATAGAGTTTGCCCCTTTTGCAAAGAAGAAGTATATTCTATCCGTGATGATCCAGAAAGGAAAAACCAAAGAAGATTTTTAAAACATTGTGAGAAATGTAAAGAAAATAATGGAAGATTAATTCAAGACGTTCAATTGCAAAACACACAACAACCATATACACCACATATCACGAAACAGAAGATATATCAATGGCTATTAGCACATAATTTGCAGGAATATTATAAACCAACAAGATATTATATTACTTTTGACTTCGAAACATTAGAGACTAAAGAAGAACTTCAACTTTCTGAGTGTGCAACTTTAAACGCTTACTTAAAACCATTTATGGTATCATCAACTGTTAAAATAAACGATAAAACATTTACGAGGAATTTTTGCTTAACATCAAGTGATTCTTTTATTTCCGACTGGATTGAGTTTTTATTTTCAACCTGTTCATTAGTTGCTAAATCAAATATTGAACAATATGAAGAATTATTGAAGCCGCAAACGGACCAAACGGCGGGGACTTTGTCTCATACATTAAATGAAAAACAGAAGGAAGCATTTAAAGAGCTTTTAGATGAAGAATTTAATAAAGTGAATATCATTGGTTTTAATTCAGGAAAGTTTGATTTAAATTTAATTCTTCGTGATTTAAATACTGCAAAATGGAAGATAAAATCAATGCTGGGTTCTTCTTCTCAATTTAAGCAAGTCATAGTAAAGAAAACAAACTGTCCATATGAATTGAGATTTATTGACATCAGAAATTATATAGCGGGTGGAACATTAGACCAATTTACTCAAGATTTCGGAAACAATAAATCACGTGTTAAATCCTTTTTCCCATATCAATTCATCACATGGGAGAATTACGAAGAAGAATTATATAAAAAGGAACCATTCACGAAAGATTCATTTTATTCAGCATTAACACAAGAAACAATATCCGATTCAGATTATCAAATATATCTCAATGATGCTAAAAATTTTGAGAATAGATTAGAATATTTTATTCATTATTGTAATAAAGATGTTGAAATTATGATTGACCCAATTGATAAAATTATTGAAGAAACATTTGTTTATAAAATTGACATGCTTCATAATCTTTCATTATCATCTAATGCATCAATGATTCGTTACGCTTTAGCATATAAAGACTTTAATCCTAATGAAAAATATCCAGAAGAAGAAAATGTGGAATCAAGTTTTGAATTAACGAAAAAGTATTGGAAATATAAAATTGAATCATATAAGAAACAAGATGAAAAAGCAGAAAGAGATACCAAAAATAATGTTTCAATGGATGATTTTCAATACTATCACGATTTAATCCTTTCATCTAAATGCAAAATGTGTGGTAAAGCGTTTACATATGCAAATAAACCAACATTAGATAGAATCGATAATGAAAAACCACATACCAAAGAAAATTGTCAGTTAATGTGTTGTTATTGTAATGTTATTAAATCAAATAAAGATGAAGAAGTTCAACGTTTAAGAATCAATTTAAGAAATTATGCATTAAAAAATAATTTACCAATGACTTTAGATTCAGTTGAAGCTTATCACATCCTCCGTAATGGAATTACTGGTGGTTTATCAAATGTTCAACATAGAGTAAATCTTAAAGGAATCACACACATTAATAAACTTTCATATAATCCAGAAACCAAAACTGTATCAAATGAGGACACCACCAACATTATGACTCATTTCGTTGGTGTTGATTTCAATTCATTATATCCTTCATCATTTTCATCTAATCCTCATGATTTCATTCAATATACTGACCATAAAATGTATATGCCGGGAAGATTGAATGGTGTTATCATTTGTGATACAGCAACAAAGAAAGCAAAAGCACTGGGAATAATTAAGAAGAAAAATACTTTATTCGTTGCTGAAGTAAAGGGTCACATTGATGAAAAATACATTAATGATTACATAAACTTTTTACCGATAATAAGAAACTTAGATATTATCACAGATGAAAAAACAATTGGCAGTTTTATGTATAATTACATGAAATCAAACAATCTACCAGTTGACCAGAAACAGAGGAAATTAACTCAATTAGCATCAACACACAATCAATATCAACCATTTTCTTCTTATTATCTTTGGTATCTAATAGACAGATTTCATTTTATCATCGATGATATTCAATCAATTTTAACATTTACGAAAAATACTTGTTTTAATGAATTTGCGAACAAATTTATGAACGAAAGACAAAAGGCTGAATTAGAAGGAAATAAAGGAAAAAGTTTATTTTGCAAAATTTCACTTAATGGATCATATGGTTACGATGCAATGAATACACAAAATTACGCAAAGACTAAAATAATGAATGCACAGAAGGCACGCGTTGCATGTATGTCAAATAAGTTTAAAAACATAAGAGAAATAGGTGAAGATACATATCAAGTGATGCTCAAAGATAGATTTTATAGATGCGAAACATGTTTACAAGAGGCATTCTTCACTTTAGATAATGCTAAATACTGGTATTTAGTTTTCATTTATGATTTTATGTATAAATGCTTGGATGTTAATCGTTTTCATTTCATTGAAGGTGATACTGATTCATCTTATTGGGCAATCGCTGGCGACCCAAATCTTCCTAACACTCAAGCATTTCAAGCAATTGTTACTGATAAACAATTTTATGATAAAAACATTTTCAAATTCGCACCATTTGATTTCTTTTGTTTTGATGAGAAATTTAAACCTAAATTAAAGAATAAAGCTGAAGAAAAAGCACATGAGAAGAAGTTATTGGGTTTAGCAATTGAGAAACAAGGTGATAACATGGTTGCTTTATGCCCTAAGTGTTATACATCATTCAACGGTTCAATTGATGGAAGTGATTTTAAAAAGATTGCACAAAAAATGAAAGGTGTTAGTTTAAGACAAAATAAACAATTAACACCTAAAAATTATTTGGATATAATAAATGATAAAGTCATTTTCGATGGTCAAAATATTAATTTACAACTTAAAAATGGGTCAATGACTCGCTTAACAATTGGTAAGACTGCATTAACAGGAGCACACACTAAAGCTGTATGTTGTGAAAATGGATGTTGTATGCCATTTATTTAATACAATTTAAATTTTATTTTTAATGAAATGCCACAGAAGAGACAAAAGGAATCATTAATGGTTTTGATACTATGATTCAAAGAGGTGGGCACCCTTAAAACATTTATTTTATTTTTATATAAATGGATAACACAGATTTAAAAATTTTAATTGATGATTTAGTATTTAATCAAAATTTTCTTAATTATTATGAATTAAAATCATATCTCCAAAAATATAATAAAAATATAACGGGTGATGATATGGAATATTATTATCCATATTATAAAAATGAAATTTTGAAATATCATGATAGAATAATTTCTGAAATTAAAGACAAAATTAAAAATAATGAATATACAAAGGGAAAAACTAAATCACAACTTAAACAGTTGAAAGATTTCAAAAATAAAGTATTAACAGAAGAAGATATTGATGAATTATATAAATTATATAATCCTGAGCCGCAAACGCCAAAGGAACAAAAACAAAAGAAGAAAAAGCCGAAAACAACACCAAAAGAGAAAGTAGCAAATGTTCAACAGCCAAAGGTGCAAAACACCGAGGTCCTTCAGCTCATAAATGAAGCACAAGCTTTAATTTATGATTCATTAGTTAAACCATATTCAGCCCGACTTTTAAATGAAGATCAACTTTTGGAATTCATCCTTCAACATAAACTCGAAGCGAAGTATAAATCAAACCTTTATATACAGTATATTTAAAACAAATGAATAGAATACATCCAGAATTAATGAAGGGAGGAATGAAATCCAAATCAAAGCAGATAAAATTAAACCACTTGCAACACCAAAACCTCCTTCAGTTAATCCTTCATCATTCACTTTATTATATCCATTTCAAACATTAAAGAAGCAAAAGATTTTAAAAAAGGATTTCAAGATATTAAATAAACCAATTGACCCGAAAATTCAACCATTAAAAGAAAAATTTAGTCGCCCTTCATTTGCTCCATATCCATATTCATACGAAATCGATCATCTGGAATATTCAAAAGGAAATATTACTTATTTATTTGCCATTAACATTAACACTAGATATTTATATTGCATTCCGGTGAAAGGGAAAACAGAACAGGAAACAAGAAGAGCTATTCAATACTTACTAGATCATGAAAGAGTAGATAATATCAGGGGTGATGGTGATAAAGGATTTCAGGCGGCTATGACTCATTATTTCCCACAAATTAATTTTTACTTTTCATCCTCTCCATATACGTTTCATAATAAAATAGTTGATGCGGTAATGAGAACTCTTAGAGATGCGTTAGGGGTTAACGGTCAGATATACTGGGATGGAAATCATGACTCCATCATACAGCAGTTAGTATATTATTACAATAATACATGGCATAGAACTATTAACATGAAACCGGTGGAAATGAAAAATGATATTTCAAAAGAATGGGAATATATTAGAAAGCAAATGGAAAGGTTGAATGATGTTAAACGTGAACAAATTAATTCGGGGCTCATGAATTTTAAACAAGGGGATAAAGTTTTGATTCATCTCGATTATGGAAAAACTAATAAATCAATGACAAAAAGAGAAGCGAAGATTTGACACAATAGCTGAATTTGTTAGATATATTAACGGCAATGCATTAGTTGAGGTTAACAAGAAATTAATAGAAATTCCGATTTATTTTATTACTCCATTATATTTAAATAATATTTAAATTTTTTTAATTCGTAAGAAATGAGTGATAACAAAGCAGCCAAGAGTCCAGACAATGAATATAAAAAGAAACTAAACAGAATTAAATCAAAAATATGCTATTACAAAAAGAAGCCACAATGCGGTGGGGTTGAAAACGATAAAGAAATAATCGAAAAATTAGAAACTTACCGTTCAATCCTTAAACTAGGTGAAGCAAAAATAAAAGAATTTAATAGAATAAATAAATTGATTGGAAGAGATGAATTTAATAAAGATGAATTTTTAAACTCAATCCAAATTTAATTTTTATTCCTCTTCGACAACATCTCTCTTTCCATCATTACTGCATAACCGCATTTTCTCAGTTTTAGTGGTTTGTTATTTTTAACATGTTCTTGCATCATTTTTATCATTTCCTCCCTTGTTATGATTCGTGGTAAATTTTGAGCTTGTGGGGTATTCATTTATATAAAAATAAAAATTTGTTATCAGTTATTTTATCGTTAAGTGACTCAAAGAGTCCGGAGACAAAGTCTCATGGTTTTTAGGTTCATCTTTAGTTAATTATTTTTGAATAACTGAAGGTGTCACTATGTCACCATGTGTCACTCGGTTATTTAACTTCTCTGAAAAAATAAACTTAGAAAAATTATTTCTTTCTATATTTGCCATTCTGAACTTCGAAAAGATGTTTTATACCAGCATAGAATTTTTCTCTAGAGCTTGGTCTTATATTGTTTTCATGACAATATTTTCTATATTCTTCATATAAAACCTTTTTTTCATACATTTCATAAGGACAATCTAACCAGAATAGCGCATATCCAGTTTCGTTATCTAGGTCTCTATATGTTTCTTCTGTTTGTAGAATTTCGCTTTCTCTATTTAGTTCTATGTCTATATATTGTGGCTTAAAAAGATGTGGGCAAGAAGGGTCTGGCGCTATGTAAAAAGTTAATTTTTCTGTCATCTTTTCTGTCATCTTTTCTGTCATCTTTTCTATCGGATAGAAATATATTTTTTGAAAAAATTAGATTAGATTAGATTAGATTTTTTTAAATTATTTTGAAAAATAATTTAATATTTTTATTTTAATGAAACACATGCAAGATTGCAAGTTCTTTTCATACAATGCTCTCGCTACTGCCATCAAGAATGAGTTCAATAATGCTTCAAATGTTAATGTTATCTTTAACAAGAAGTTTGTGAAAGAATCTAAGTTTGGTCAGTATATCAAACCATTAGCTATCGTCATTGACCGCAAACGTTATACTTCACAAGAATTAGCAGTAGTTTTGAAACAAAAGGGTTTCTTCGTGAATGTCAAAGATACTCATTATACTGTCATAAAGAACTCTAATATTGACTTCTTCAGTATTACTATGAATCTTTCCGAACAGAAAGAATATAAGAAAGGTGAAACAAATGTGAAATATTATCCTTCATCTCTGAAGACAATAACGAACAAAGATGTTATACAGAAATTCTTACCAAAGGTTGAAGAAGCTTCTATTGACATTGACGAAGGAAGTGAAATGGTTGAAGAAATAGACTCTGAAGATTTATAAGAAAATTTATTTTTGAAGAACTGAGGGTGTCACTATGTCACCATGTGTCACTCGGTTATTTAACTTCTCTGAAAAAATGAGACAACAGGACATTTTGACAACACAGCAGGATTAATGAGGAAGGCACTTATGAAGCATTATTGAATAACTGGGAAATAAATTTACGTCAAATATGTAATTTATAATATCTTATGTCGACAGGCTACGTAGCACAGTGGTCTAAGGTGGTGTTATGGGGGGTCAGGGTCTGTGGTTCGAACCGCGACAGCGCCGTATTTTCTGATTTTCTTTGTTTGTCTTGTTTGTCGTGAATAAAAAGTGTCACAAAGGTGCTCTATCTTCCACGGCTCTATCTTCCACGGGAATAAATAAAAAATTTACTTTATTTCTTCTTTATTTCTTTGTTCCCGTGGAAGAAGGGTTTTGCTGTTTTTTTCTCAGCTGAAATCAATGATTTTTTCATTTTTGGAATCCTTAGCGAATGAGGAATCTTTTCTCTCGTGGAAGCTTTGACCAAAAATAAATTTAGGGTAGATGGTTAGATCTACCCTCATTTCTACCCCAGTTATTTTATAAACGTTTTACATGGTAAACGTTATGAATTCGTGAGACTCTAAACAATTTCGTAGCTTCTATTAATGTTTTAACAATGCCGAAGGTTTCTTTATACTTCTTCTTGACGTCAGATAAAAGGAAATCTTCTGCTGTTGGATAGTTTTTATTAAGAAATGTTAACATATCCATTTTATCTTCTGCTGGCTTTTCTGTTTCTTTCTTTAAGTCTGCATAGTCGTTTCGCATTCTTTCTATCTCTTTGACTGAGTAGTTATATTTTCTTATTGACGCTTTACATTTTGAACATTGCGGCATCGTTTTTGCGTTATACATTGAAACATTACCAGCTAAAATAACTAAAGCGTCAATTGCTCTCTTCATCTCAAACATAGTGGGTCTTATCTGTTCATTCCATACTTTACCTCTTCTATCTTTATCTCTTATCTGCCATACACATTTTGCAACTAATGAAACAAAGTTATCGTATGTCTTAAATTCTTCGGATTTGTAAAGGTCAGAAATATTTTTATAAACCATGTCGCAATCTTTGTCCATAACTTTATGGTTGCAATGAAAACCAAGGAATTCATAATTTACTTTACGTATGAATTTCTTAATTTCTACTGAGTCAGTTGGTTTCACTTCTATTTCATCGAATTCAGGAATAGTTAGTTTTTGCTGCTGAATTTCAGGCAATTTGGGTAAATGGTCAATAATGTCCTGCATTTCATAAAGATACTGTTCATTTGTTTCATCTTTCGCACTACAGTCTAAATTACTTGTTAAAAGTTCTTGCTTTATCTTCTGGATTTCTGTTTCAAAAGTATATGAAGAAGGAATGAAGCTTTTCATCTCTACCAACATTGACGTAGGATTCATGACTAGCGAGTTTGGTGCTGTAGTTGTGGCTTGAATAGTTGTTGTGCCGATTGTTGAAATCATATCTTTTATACAAAATAAATAAATAAAAATAATTTTAAAACTAATTTTATTTTTTCTATCTTAAGGAAATTCATGAAAATTCATGAGAAAGCTAAAGCAATCTGAGCCGCTAACGGACTCTTTGAGTCCTGAAGGTCTTTCAGACCGAAGCGGTGAGGTTAGAAATGAGGTTAGAAATGAGGGTAGATCTAACCATCTACCCTAAAAATTATTTTTGGTCGTTTATGATAAAAATAAGCCGCTAGCGGCAAGGGCGAAGCCCATGAGTTCATTTACTCACAATATTTTTGTACAAAACGACCCCAAACTTTTAACTTCTTTTCTGCAGCTTCAAATGCTATCTTAGCGAGTTCATATTCTCTAAATTCTCTCTTTAAATCTTCTTGTTCCCATTGGTCTAGTTCGTATGAAGAATCTCTATAACCATAACATATCTCACGTTCATGTTCTAATTGTTTTTCGCACATTTTTCCAACTTCTTCTTCAAACAAAGGTTTAGCATTCTCTACTGTATCTTCAAGTTCTTCTTCATCTAATGTCTCATGAACTTTCTTGTCTATGGAGTCCATAATATCTTTGACATAAAATGCATACTTTACAGAGCACCATTCAGCAACAAAATGAACGAGGTTAGGATGTATGTAAATACCTTTGAATTCATTCATGACACCCTTTGTAAGCTCATAAAATGCTTGTTTTGAGGTCGAGCCACTTTTGGCTCCACCGTATTCGTTCATCCAAAACTCAAGAATTTCCTGCATTTTAGTACTATTGAGAAATCTGTTTAAATGGTTTAACCTTCCCGCTTCTCTTGCCATCTTTGTTGCATTAATGTAACCATCCTTGTCTCTACGTAAGACTTCAATACCATTATAAGTGCCTTTTGTGAATGTTTCGCCATTAGATTTGTTCGTGAATGTTTTTGCTTCGACTGACATTTCTGTTCTTACATACAAAATAAAAAAATAAATAAAAATAATTTTAAAACTAATGAAATTAATTATTTTTGGACTGAATTCATTGAACTCTATACCATGCGTAAACTGTCATGTAAGGTGGCATGTATTCTTTACTTTGTCCCGTTGTTTGTGTATATCCTGAAACGAAATGTGTATGGTTTCCTCCTCCCTCAGTGTTACTCCAGTAACAATCTATAGCAAACTTAACGTTGTCTTTAACATCATATCCTTTACCTTTTGTCATTCCTGACCAATCCCAATATCTATGCTTATGCCAACCTGCTTGAGATGTACTTAAATCTATGTAGTGACTATGAGCAGGTAAATTTTCGCCTGAAATCGTTTTACTTCCACCTGTTTCCTTTGAAGAGTTTGCACAATACAAAAACCTGTCGACTATTTGTTCCCATGCACCAACACCAAACATTACTTGAGGACCTCTTGCATCCATAGATGTATAAATAGAACCTACTGGGTTCATTAAATCAAACATATGAGATATTATAGGATTGTCTCTTTTGAACTTAAAATATAGTGTAACTATTTCAGGTTTCTTCTGGTTTGTGTCAGAATATTTTTTATAATATAATCTTATGTTTTCAGGGTATGTAAAATCTTGACTATAATATTTATTTCTGTCATCTTCATAATAATATACTATTCTCGTTTTTTCTATTGCATTATATCTTTTATATCTATAATAATCTAAATATAATGTTAGCTTTTGTTCATCTACATGTGGTGTTCTGACATCATCTCCATAGTCATAATAATATGGTGCTGGAGCTAGGTTAGACAATGTCATATCTGTCATTTCATAAACTCTTAAATATTTCTTTTGTTCGTCTCCATATAAGTTTAAGTAACAGTTGTTGTCTAATGGAACTTTAACTTGTGTACCATCATTCTTTATATAACCTACATACATTTCATTGTTATTTTTCGGAATGAGTTTACACCGTGTACCATTTTTTAAGGAGTGTACAAACTGCCATCTAAAATATTTATTTTCTTCATAGACAGAAAAGTCACCAACAATAGTTTCAATATTTTTTGTTGTTCCTATCAAACTTTGGTATATTTCGTTAACATATGTTTTATCTGCTTTCTTCATTAACTCATCGTTAACATATGTTTTATCTGCCTTCTTGTCATATAAATCTTGAGCAGTGAATTTAATATTATGTTCATCCTTCATGACATAAACATCTTTACATCTAATGTTTCTCATCGTCGTTATGTCGTCATCCGATGTTAAACCTTGTGGAAAGTTAGGAGGTTTCCAATATAATACATCCCCACCAGTTCCTTCAACCGTTCCTTCAATACTTTCTATACCAACAGTTGTGAAGAATTCATGTGTATGGTTCTTATCTGCCTTCTTCATTAACTCATCGTTAACATATGTTTTATCTGCTTTAAGGTCTAAACATCCTGAAACCCACCCTGTATCGGCTTTAGTTTTTAAAATCTTTGATGTCCGTTCATGGTACCATTCAACCATTTCTTTAATTTCATTATCTTTTTCATTAACATATTCCTTATCCGCCTTCTTCACTAACACACTAGCCACATATTCCTTATCTGCTTTCTTCATTATGTCATTTAGGAAACCTTTTATGAATTCCTCATTTAAATTAAATCTTCCAATCTTCAAAACTTTAGGAAATGCATTTAATGCGTAATATCTTTGTTCTTCTGGTGGAATTGATGTTATATCATCCGTTATTCCTTTAATTTTTGAATTCATAAATAAAATTTCTTTTATATTTGATATCACTGCACCACCTTTGCAAACGAATTCGAAATGGTCATTTTTCAATACTATCTCCAAATCTCCATATTTCAACCTTTGTGTTTGTTCTGCCGTCTTTGAATTATATGCATATGTGGCGTATGTAATGGTTTGTGCCTTAAGTTGTTGTGGTTGCTGTTGTTTAATCATTTATTACGATTTAAAAATAAATATTTAATCTGTTATCTCATCAGCTATTTTCTCTATTTGAAAAGTCCATAATATTTCATTCATAAATTCTAAATCACAATCAAATAGGTCAGTTATTCTAAATTTAATATTTGATAAATCTTTTGAATGAAGAATAAATGAATTCCCGGATAATTGAAATGGATAAGATAAAGAAAATATGTTTAAGTTGATGGATAAAATGTTTTGTATTGATGGGTAAGAGTTAGGGTCTAATGTTTGATGTGAAAATCTCATTGGGGTATTAACTTTATCACATTTGATTAAAATGAAATTGGACCCAATGTCAGAATACAAAACATCCCCAACATCTTTTTCAAAATTTAATATCCCCAACAATGAACGAAGACGAGGAGTACAAAATTTAATTTTCAGCGGGAATTTAATAAGGTTATTTATTTCATCAAGTTCAAAAAGTTTATCAGGTTTTGATTTAAAATTTTCTTCATACCATACGATAAATGATTCATTTAAATAACTTAAAATCATGTTAATATCCCATTTCACTATCACATTATTTATATACATATCATATGTTTTTAGGTCTACGACCCCGCCGCTATGCGGCTCAAGGTCATCTTTAATAAATGATATATAATCCGAAGGGTCTAAAAGAATGGGATTAAATTTACCACTCACAGAAACGAGAGTAACATTATAAATTCCGCTAACTGTTAAATTTAATTCACAGTTATTATTCGAAATAATATTGATAATTGACATTTTTATTACGATTAAAAATATGGTAAAGCGTTATTTTCCAGTGATAAATAAAACTAGAATAAGATTACCTCAAGAATTCATAAATTCAACGAATAAGAAATTCATTCATGTTATAAATTTTAGTGTTTTCAGAAAATATGAGTCGATGTCATATTCATCATCGGGTTATATTTCACTTCATTCAAATTTGGTTCAATCAAACCCATATAATGACCATTTCATAAGATTTTCAGATGGTATTAAAAATGTAATTGATAGATTAAAATATGAACAGATTGACAATATCGAATTTTTGGAATTTTGGTTTAAATATCCTGATGGAAAAAAGATTGAAGTTAAAGATAAAGCAGATACTATAACAAAAACAATTACAATGACTGATCCGGATAGTGGGGAACAAAAAGAAATAAAACAAACGATAGAAACTGGTGAAAGGTCAATTATTATTGATTATGATTCAAAGGATTATTATTCGATAATGTTAATGCTTGAATATTAAATAGCCTTAACAAAGAATTTTTCAAGTGATATTTTATATTCATCAACTATTTTATTATAAATATCATTATATGTTAAATGAAGTTCAGTTGTTGTTCCGTTCTTTGATATCTTAATTGTGCTAATATCCTTTATAGGATTTATTTTTGCAACTGTTCCGCAGCATGAAACCTCATCATCTATGAAATATTGAATCTTCACGTCTGAATCTTGAACATCACAAAGAATGGCAATAATGTGAATTAATGATTCATAAGGTAAAATAATTAAACCGGATTGGTCAATTAAATTTATTATTGAATCATAATTATCAGTTATGATATCGCGATATATTTTCATTAATTCTGAATTAATGTCTATTTTATATGGCGCATTGCGACTGGAATCGTAGATTCCTGGGTTATCAAGTGGTGGGGGGTATGTTGGATAAGTGGGAATTTCAACAGGTTTTTTACCGGGTTCAGATAAAATGATTGGGTCTCCATCTTCTTTATTTTGCTCCTCTTCTTTCTTTGGTAAGTCACGAGTTAATAAATTTGGTTGAGTTGCTGACCTTGTTAATTCAGGACTAACATTAACTTTAACATTTTGAATAATTCGTGATTTATCATCATTTACGTTATAACCAACCGTAATCTCTGCTTTTGCGTTAGTGTTCTTTTGACTAGTGAAACGTCTTCTCATTTATAATTGAATAAAAAAAATATATTTAAACTTTTATTTTGCTGGAACTTTTGAATCTATTATTCCCTGTATTTGTTCATGAAGTTGATTTTTAGCATTTTCATCGAAATTAATAGACCTAATATATTCATTAATTGCATTCTTATAATCAACTGATTTCTCAAATTTTCTTTTATCTGATTCCTTAACTAAATCATAAGTTAAACCTCGTTGCTGATATAATGGTTTCTTAATTAAATCTTTGAATGCTTGAGATAAAGCACCTGATGCAATTCTTGCTACTATAATTGGTTGGAATTGCTGTTTAAGTTCATCTTTAACATTTGCGAAAACTGGATCGAATAAAGCAACTTTAAAGAATTTCTTAGCTGGAATTTCAGGTCTCAAATTTGCATATTGACCATCGAACTGATTAGAATATTGTGGTAATCCATCCGGTCCCTCTTGAATAGCATTTAATTCTTCATTGAAATAAGAATATGGATTATGACGGTATGAATTAATTGGACCATGTTCACCTTCTCCAATGTATTGTTTAACAGCTTTTCCATTTTCATCAAATTGCATAGGATAACGTTCATTATATGCTTTACGTTTAGGATAATCCGTCATTGTTAATTTATAACCATTTATGACTTTAATATTTCCTTGACCATCAGTAACGAAAACTTCATTTATACCATCAGGTTTTCCAGTTGGACCCGTAATGTCTGCTTCATGTGCTTCCCAATTTGGTCCATGACGTTTGGCATATGCTTGAGCTTCTGGTAATGTTAAAACATTTCTCATTTGTTTAACATCCTTTTGAAGACCGGCAACAATGTGGACTAATTCTTTCATTCCGTCTGGAACTTTCATAGTTCTATTATATGCACCCTTTTTGTTTGTCCCTTGTTTTAATGGAACCTGTAGAAGATTTGCAATTTCTGTCATGTTTAATTATAAATAAAAAATAAAAATTAATTATAAAAAGTTATTCGAATTTAATGGAACCTTTATTTAAATCAACTATTATTTTTCCATGTTCTCCTAATTGCTGATATTGTGTGTAAAGTTCATTAATGCTCATTGGTAAATTCACTTGATAAAGCATAACGTTCAACTGTTGACGACTAAACCACTGAAAATGAAAAGGGTGGACAGGTTTGATTTAATGTTTGTGCTTAATGCTTTAAAGTATTGAACAGCCATAAAGAATGAACACTGAATATGTCGACATTGAGTTAATAACTGATTAAAATATGATTTCTCATTAGTTATTAGTTTTGATTTCACGGCATCATCTAGAAAAATTAGTGAATGCAAAAATTCTTTATCAAAATTTGAAATAGAAAGTGTTTCAAATAATTCATCCCGTTGTTTATCAATAATTTTATCCTCTAATCCTTGCTTCTTGATTGTATTATATAACTCTTTATACATTAAAAAGTTTTTCAAATAATCTTCTGCTTCTTCTTGTGATAAATAAATAATTGGAATTTTGATTAAATGCTTTAATGATTCAAATGTATCATCTGAAGGTGAACCTGAACGGTTGATATAAATTAACACATGTGAATAGGGTGAAGTGTTAGCAATAATGATAATTTGTTTTAATATCGTTAATGTTTTACCTTTATTTTGTTTACCAATTGCTGCAGTGATTGAATTTAAGTAACATTCAGAATATGGAATTTTCATTAATTTTTCCTTAGATAGAGCATTTCTATTATCACTCAATGCTTCATTAATCATATCATCTATGTATGTATTATATACTCCTGCTAATTCTTCAGAATTTAAATCCATTTAATCAAAAATAAATTTATAATTTTAAACATTTCTATTCATCAATATTTCATCATATGAACTTCTATACTGTGGTGGTGTACCTGTTGAATGATATTTCAAACCTTCATCCGGTGTCCATGTCCAATACGTAGTCCTAGTAAACCAAACCTGAGGAGGATTTGTCACCTTTGAACAGTAAGTGTCATTTTCACCCTGAATGATTGGATAAGCTTTCACTTGTACTGTAACTTGTGAGTTGAAAGTTTCTAATCCATCAAAGAATATACCCGCTCCATCACGTTGAACTGGAATAGTGCATAAGAATGAAGTTTGGTCTTTCCATGTTCTAGCTAATGGCTGCCATCATCTGCATTCAGTGGTCTAGTTAATGAGTCCTCGTATTCTTCGTGCATTCATTCACTCCATCTAAATCAGAAGCTTGAAGCATACGTGTAAAGAATATGTCACCCACTGTGGTCATCGCTTGATCGGGGAAGTTTCTGGAATCTATAGTGACCTGAAGACCTCGAAGCATTGGATTTTCTAAAACTGTTCTTTGCATTGTATTCTTCGGAAATGTTAACACAATATCCGTAACATTATGCAGAGCGTATGAGAAATCAGAGCTGATACCTTCAGGAGTGATGCAACCTCCATTTAGTGAACGAACGTCAATATGTTGAGCTGGAATCATGAATGGATCTTCCTTACTGAATAAACGTGGTATT